AGATCTGTTGCCAACACATCACGTAGGTGTGGTTGTTGCCTTGTGGATATTCTATTCACTTCCAATCAATGTGTTAGTAAAGAAATTTTGGAGTGGGGGCACTAAAACCACGTTATGTGGGGAAGGTGATTAATCTTATCCGATGAGTTTTCATGCTCATACCAATCAAAATTCACTACAGGTAGGGTGAGAATAAGAAGGGTGGATAATCCCTAAGATAAAGCAGTCAACATCCACCGGAGAGATACATTGTTGCCATTGTGACTTGGTAAAGGGGCACGAACAACCTTAAAGTACTATTCTATGTCCTAAAAGTCTTCGATCCTTAGCATCTCGGGGGAAGAAGCACACTTCTTTATTTTACCTATAAGCTAAGGCATGTGCTTCTCATTGTCCAGGCTTATGACTAACCTCATGCTCCCCGACTCTAATTGTTCGACTTTTACACACAAGTTTTTTTGCACGAGAAATTATTCGAATAGGCACGTCAGAACCTTTTCTATTTGATTCAGCCATGAAACTTAAACTCGATTACAATCTCTCCTAATAAAGACTATAAAGTAAAGCACCGACTAAAACACGAGACTCTTTTGTATTTTTGTTCGCACAGACATTTATTTCTTTGCAGCTTACTCCAAATGCTGAGTTCCTGACTGTCTCACGGTTATATGTAGTTAGCATAATACTTTATTAATTGTTCAGCAGTGAAGTGTGACTGATGGGGGCAGGGAACTATTATTTTAGAGAGAGACTTGGCTGCTGATTCTTCAACGGCCCTTCGAACTAATTACGATTGAACATGTGTTTAAATTGTAATTAAAAGAATTCAATTTGGACATATGTTTGTGATTGATTCTCAGCAGAAAAGGTTGTTAGTTCTTTCAACAGCCAAGTTAAATCCATTATTTTATACATGTCTATTAGATATATTATGCTCTCTGAAACTAAGTTCAAAATTTTCAGAATCTTTGTTTGATACTGTGTCCTCCTGCCTTTCCCAGTGAGATTGACAAGTAAATGTTGTTACAATTTTGGCCTCCAACTTGGCCACAACTAGGCCACTTTCCTCTCTAAATGCACTCTCACATTTGAAATTAGAAGATGGGCTTTTCCTTTGCAAAATGATTCGTGTACACCACCTTCTTTTGATTTATTTGAGGCATTTTAGCTAAAATGATTTTTTAAGATTGATATAATTCCTAATTTTGGTTTATGAGATTTGAAATTGATAGAAGTAATCTTTGAGTTTATTCACAGTCAATAATTTTGGTCATTCTGTAAAAAATCTCTAGTAAATAAAGACCAAAATGTCAAAAATAGCTTCAATTTAATAAATAATGTGCCAAAATGATTTGATAAAAATTGAGTGTATTTTTATCATTTTTTCCTTATTTAATGAAGATTTTTCACGAATGACTAAAATAATTGACAGTAGACAAACTCTTAAGGACCAAAATGAGAAGTTATGTCAATTTCAGAAACTATTGTAGCTAAACATCCTTTATTTCATCTAAAAAGCCAAATTGCCGAGGAAGAAAATAAATATGCATAAATCATTTCCTTTTTTCGTAGAGTTTGATTTGCATCAAGAACACACCATAGATATTTTCAGCTAAATTAATGCACCATGAAGTGGTATTTCTTTTATTCTTCTTTTGTATGCTATGTGAATATTCACTACAACAATTCATGTCACATTTTTAGCACATTATCGATCATATCTTTTATAAAGGTGAGACTTATGTCTTCTACAATGGTTTTAGATGAGTGTGATACTTATATGCAAGAATCAGGCACCATGAGTTTAATTCGTATTACACTATTGTCAGAATAGTGAGTTTGATGCGGATGAGTTCAATTTATTCGACTAAACAATAAGAATCATTCTCAATAGTACTCAGATCTTTCGATCTACTGTATGAGTTTGATTTTTATATTGTTGATATCACACTTAGTTTTTCAATCTACCGTGAAAGGCCTTACGTGTATAAGAGGCAGTTCCCACCTTAGTGAAATTTCAAAATTGTAATCTATAATGTGATAAACTTTAGAAGTGAATAAAGAGTTATGTTATTCATACCATGTTTTTGTACCATATTTTCATACCACTTTAGGTGATATTTGATGTGAACAGCCAATAAATTCCTTGAAGACATGTTCTTGATCCGACATGTATCAATAATTATCAAAGCTATGTCAAATCTTAAAAGGTGACCTCAAAAGAGGTCATCATGCAAAATGTTGACCTATAAACTCGAGTTCTATATCCCTTTATTCTTGTTGTAGTGAAAACTTCAATTGCCCCTTTCAATTATTGATCTGTTATATAAAGATGATTTAACCAGTTCATAATCCTATTTTCCTTTCACAAATTATAAAATTCGACCCTAAATATTTCATGTCATTAATGAGAGAATTCGAACTTATGAGCTTTTTTAACATTGAAAACATGTGTATTGATGAACTACTATATGTTGGTCAAACCTAAAATCTTAAGGAACTGATTCCAACACACGGATTTTCTCTACATGCACATTCTATGCTTATTTATGAAGGTTAGATTAAATAAAATAAAGAAAATCAATGGACAAAATTCAACAAAAGTATGTAAATGAAGGAAAAAGAAGAAAAACTTGTGTGAAGCTTTACTTGCCACTGGATTTTGTTGAATGACACTACAATCTAATCAAAATTCGCTACATGGCAAATCAATTCTCAAAACTTTATAAGATAAAAATTAAGTTAAAATCCATCTTTTTTCTTTTCAATTTTTATTTAGTGCTGATATACTCTATAGACTTATTTCCCCTCCCACTATTAAAGAAAATTTTAATACCAAATTAAACCTTATGTGAGAAGACTTCAAAAGCCCTGTTAAAAATTAATTCTCTTATATATTCTTTGGAGTTAAAGAAAAAAAGGAATAGAAAAAAAAAATTAAAATGAGAAAAAAATGAAACCTCCCCATTTTGTTTCTTCATCCGTCACCCATTTCTGACTTTCGTCCCCCTCCACCTTCTATCTCTTCTGTCCACCTCACCCGCCCCACATTTTGTCTCTTCTTATCTTCCTATTTTTAAACCCTTAATTTTGAATTGGAATTCAAGAATAAATATGAATATGAATATGAATTTAAATCCAGATTTGGTAGGGGGAGAAAGAAAGAGATAAAGAGGAACAGAGAGATGAGAGGAAAAAGAAAAGAAGCTAACTTTCCTTGTGGCAAAGAGAAAAGGAGTTGCCGTTGTCATATATGGTGTTTGGTTGTGGTTGCTTTCAGCTGGGTTGGGAGGGGATGTTCGTGGCTTTTCTATTCTCCTAAAATCTCCAATATTCAATCACTCTTTATATTTATCTTATTTAAAACCTAAAATTTTAGGGGTAGTTTAAGAATATAAGTGGGTGGGAAGAGATTGTTGGTTTTTTAAAATGATGGGTGAAAATATAGCATTGTGGGAGAAATAAGATTATGAAATGGGCATAGTTCACTCTTTTTATTTTAATAGAGAAAAACTCGACTTCGATGTTTTCTAATGTTTAGAAAATACCACTAGATAAAAAATGAGTTAATTTCATTTGATTGATTGGAGAGATTTTTCATTGTGCTGAAACATGAGTATATACGTCATATGTCATTATATAAGTGGAGAAACACTTGAAAAAAATTTCTTATCTCAATTTATATAATAGTATAAGACGCATCATTTTGTGTTCTAAGGATATTGAAAAATCTCTCGAATGATTGAGAGATAAGTCATGTGTCAAAATCTTATGAACATTGGAGAAGCTGCCTACCCCACTAAATACTGCAAGCCATATGATCCTTTCCCAAGTAACAGAAGCACAAATGAAACTAAACAAAAAAATATATAAAAAAATGGCATTTGATCCTTCCCCAAGTAAAATGAACAAAAATGAAATTAAACAAAATATATATATATAAAAAAAAAAAATCATAGTTTCATATGCAAAGAGGGTAAATTGGGTAAACTACAGAGAGAATCAAAGAAGCAAAAATCCAAAGTGGCAGATAGACGTGCGCATTCTGAACTCCGCTCGTCAGCTCTGCCAAAAAGTTGTGGTATATAAATCCAACAGGGCCCAAAACTACAAACACCCCCAGATTTCCTTTTTCGAGAGACAGTCCGTCTCGTCTCCTCTCGTGGGCTGCTTCTTGTATCTCTCCTTCTTCTTCCTCCACATTTTCTTTGGTTTTCAGGTATCTGCTTCGTCTGCCCCCAGAAGCTGCTTTTCCATGGCGTCCATTGTTGAATCTGGCTGGAGGGTACATTTTCTACATACCCATTTGGTTTTACAGCTCAAAGATTTTACTTTTGGCTTTTTTTCAATTTGTTTTTTGGACCAAGATTTGATCTTTTTGTTGGGCATTGGTTGCTTTTGAATTGGAATTATTGTGTGCGTTTTTACCATGTGTGTGAATTTGGTGATAATGCTGGCGTGTGGGGTATGATTGCTGTGATGGATTTTTCTTTATTGTGGGATTAGTGTAATGATTTGATCTGTGTGGTGCATTTGAGTATTATGGTTACTGAATTTAAGTAATGAGGTCACTGGGTTGTTCTTTCTTCGATTTCTTTTGAGTAATGTGGATTAGGATGGTGGGGCAGCATTAGGTGTTGAAAAATTGATTTCAGATGAGGATTTTGGAGATTTTTTATTAACATTATATTTCTTCGAGAAGAAGCCGGTTCGTGTAATTTGTGGTCAAATGATGCTTGAATTTGAAGCCATGTAATTAACTTGAAGTGGCATTATCTGTTTGTGGGAAAACACAATGATTTGATGTGTCGAGTGCATTTGGATATTGTCGTTACTGTTTTCAGGGTTACCGTGTTATTTGGATTTCTTTTCTCTTTTCGTTGTCAATTTCTGTCCTTTTTTTTTTCCATTGTAGTGACATTACGGCAGCATTAGATGGTCAAGATTAATGTTATGTAAGGATTTGGAGTCGCTTTGTTAAATTGTTAGGATGTGAAGCCACACAGATTGAAGTGATATTGTCGTTTAATTTCATTGGTTAGTTAATTTACTGTACCTGGAGTTATGTGGATAGAGAATTGATACATGGGCAGGAAATCGAGGAATTTAAATTAATTTGTGGTGACATATTGCGTTCAGATGGAGACTGTTTCTATATCTGAGAAGCCTGAGATGAGCTGCTTTTGAGATCTGACTCAGAAAATTTTGTATCATCCTTTTTGGCTGTGGTTAGTGGGTGGTGGCTCTATTTTCTTTTTTGGGAGTGATTGAGAAAGGAATATTTTTTCATGGGCGCTGATACATTTTAAGCACAATCCTAATTTTTGTTTCTCATATCGTAAGTTACATAACAGATTGAAAATTTTCTTTTCTCTTTTCGTTGTCAATTTCTGTCCTTTTTTCCCATTGTAGTGACATTACGGCAGCATTAGATGGTCAAGATTAATGTTATGTAAGGATTTGGACGCGCTTTGTTTAATTGTTAGGATGTGAAGCCACACAGATTGAAGTCATTTAATTTCATTGGTTAGTTTACTGTACCTGGAGTTATGTGGATAGAGAATTGATACATGGGCAGGAATTCTAGGAATTTAAATTAATTTGTGGTGACATATTGCGTTCAGATGGAGACTGTTTCTATATCTGAGAAGCCTTGGGATGAGCTGCTTTTGAGATCTGACCCAGAAAATTTTGTATCATCCTTTTTTGCTGTGGTTAGTGGGTGGTCGCTCTCTTGTCTTTTTTGGGAGTGATTGAGAAGGGAATATTTTTTCATGGGCGCTGATACATTTTAAGCACAATCCTAATTTTTGTTTCTCATAACGTAAGTTACATAACAGATTGAAAATTGTCCACCTGTAGTCATGCAAGTTCAAACTTCAATAGTTTTTCGATTCTATATTGGAACCCTGAACACATGAATTGTGATTTGAGTCTAGGTTGAGAGCAGCTCAGTGCTTAGGTAGGTGTTATTGTACTCTAGTTATTTTAGGTCTTAACGTTTAAACGTAGTTTCTTGGTTGTTCCTTGATTTTATTGCCATGTCTGATTTTTGGAACTATTGGTGTGCGCATGATTCCTTTAAATGTTCCTAAATGAAAGGATAACGGAACTGATTTTTCCTTCTTTTGATTATGCAGTATCTGATCACAAATTTCAACGATTTTCAACTGGCATGTCTAGGAAGTTTCTTTCTACATGAGAGTGTTTTCTTCTTATCTGGACTCCCTTTTATATATCTGGAGAGGGCAGGATGGCTGAGCAAGTACAAGATTCAGGTTCATCTCTCTTCTCTGAGCTCTTAGAATGTAATTTTTCAAATGAGGAATTTTATTTTCGTCCTCTTAAGATTCATCTGGCTGGCAGAGTATGGAAGGGCACATGTTTTTCCAGCTCTGTTTAATATATCTTTCTTAAGAAAGCGTTTAGTTTCTCTAGGGACAATTTTTTTTTTGGACTGTAAGCCTGAATGAGTGGAAATGGTCAGGGTTGCTTGAAGTTAAAGTTAAAGGCGATGGAACAGTGTAGTTGGATGGAGCTTACGTTTTAGGGACAAGTATGAAATCAAATCTTTTTACTGGCCTTTTATACAGTGGTTGCAGGTCATAAGAAAATTTTGGCAATCTATATTTGTGCATCTGTGATTAAGATAAAGGATTCGAGGTGTAATGGGCTATCTGTTTCTTTGATTGGGGTGACTCAGTTTATAGCTAGTTTGGTGAGCTAATATAGGGTTCGCATAGCTGATTTTCCACCAAGCAAAATCAAAGAGTATGTAGGATATATCTAATATGTGCATTTTGTCTTTGTGGATGGAGAACTGATGTCCTATTGTGGAGTTAAAGGAAGATATGTCGAGAAGGATGTTTGAATGGACTAGATGGGCTATTGCTAATGTCATAACAGTTTCCCTTCTCTTTACGTATTTAATGTTTCTTTGTTACTTTCCATGCGTACAGCATGTGTAAGTTGGTCCTGTCCCCTTGGCATTTCAATAAAATCTTTTCAAAATGGTGCTGTGACTTGATTCTAGTTTTGTGCAGACAAAAAATAACAGCCCTGCCGCTCAGGAGAAATGTATTACTCGCCTACTGCTCTATCATTTTTGTGTCAATCTGCCAGTTATGATTGCTTCATACCCCGTCTTCAAATTCATGGGCATGCGCAGTAGTCTTCCATTGCCGTCCTGGTATTTTCAGGTTCTTTATATGCTAGAGCATATTTTCTCAGACATTGTGGAGTTTGATGCCATTATCATGAACCCATTTAAAATTAACAAAGACCCTAAACTTTTCCCTTTCTGAACAATTTAGGCTTTTAAATGCTTAGTTCCGTAATTCTTCATTTGGTTTGGCAGGAAAGTTGTTTCCACTCAGATCATTTTCTACTTCATCCTAGAGGATTTCGTGTTCTACTGGGGACATAGGGTTCTGCATACAAAATGGTTGTACAAGCATGTCCACAGCGTCCATCACGAGTAAGTGAGAGTTATGAGTAACTTACTCAATGCTAAGGGTATTTACTAAGGTTATTTTTTAGCTGTATTTCAGCGAACTCCTGATCGAGTAATAAAATGTGTGCAGATATGCAACACCTTTTGGGCTGACTTCTGAATATGCTCATCCGGCTGAGATATTATTTCTTGGCTTTGCCACCATTATTGGTCCTGCCATTACTGGTCCCCATCTGATTACTCTGTGGTTATGGATGGTACTTAGAGTTCTGGAGACGGTCGAGGCACATTGTGGTTACCATTTCCCATGGAGCCTCTCAAATTTTTTACCGTTGTATGGAGGGTGAGTGTATTTTTCTGTACTTGGTAATTTTTAGCAATGTGTATATTGTCGATTTGGTCCTTTTGTTACTGAACTGTTTCTGCTTTCATCATACAGTGCTGATTTTCACGACTACCACCACCGTTTGCTTTACACCAAGTCTGGCAATTATTCATCGACTTTTGTTTACATGGACAGGTAATTTTTAGTATGTGCTGCTTAAAGCATTTAAACTATAGTAACTTCTGGTTATCTCCGAACCATTTTAGTGAAATGACTATGAAGTAATTTCTTCACTTTTTTTTTTCTTTCAGCCGATTGTCAATATTTGAAATAAGTAATTTAACAAGGATAAGTGTTACTAGTCTAACATGAAACCAAATTTCGTTCATTTTAAGATCAACTGCCTCATGATTTGGCTTTCACTGTTTCATATTGTGCGGATAGATCTTGTTATAGCGAAGTCTTACTGAACCGTTAAACCTTGGTACCAGTCATGCTTCCAGTCTCTGACCATGAAGTATGACTGGTTTTCACAAAATAAACCAACAGAGGCCGCAATGCAGCTGAAAGTACGCTAACCATCTCCCTCTACTATGACTTTTTTCAGGATATTTGGAACCGATACGGGTTACAGAAAGTTGAAAGAACTGAAGAGAGCCGGGGTTGAAGATGACTGCAAGGAAATGTGACGTGGGAGCCAGGATTTTTATAAACTAGCTGGACATGAGTAAATGGGTTCTTTGATTTATGGGCGGTACTGAAGATGTTTCTATCTCCGTCCCTGCCTCATCGTGTATTTAACTGCATTTTTGTGTGTGAGTTCTTTTCTGATTTAGAGCTTATGTTAATGTGGAATCAGTGGAAAGCTTCATGGACATTTGTGCGCTCCAATTTCTTACATGAATGAAGAAGCTGCCCTTTTATTCTCACTTCTTTCTGGTCAATTCGGAGGCTCCAAGAAATATGAGCGATATGGCGTCTAAGTATTCACTTGGTCCGAGGATGAACATGGTGTTCTACCAATCCCGGATGTCGTTGCGGTAGTAACAATGGAGGCTAAAAAAATTGGTACAATGAAACATAAAATTAGGGTAGGCAAACGGGCCTTGGGTCTATGGTTGGCCGGATCCTTGCGGTTCGGGATGGGTCTAAAAATTCTAAACATAAAACGGGGCATGGCGGGTCCATGTAATTAGTGGGATGGGGAGGGTACAAAATTTTGATATGGCCCCCGGCTTGGTCCCTCCAATTTTAAGCTTAGTCTGGTCCGTGCACACCCTTACATAAAAGAGCTTCGAAATAAAGAAACCGAAGCAACTTGCTTGTAGTTCTTCAGCTAATTTTTTTTTCCCTTTTTATTCGTGTGGCCTTAATAATGCGTGTATATTGCAAGGAACATGTCTTGTCCGTTAACAGCTGCACTTGAGGTCATATGTTTGAACAAAGATTGTCCTCATCAAATTTCTGTGGAGCATCCTAGCTTCTAATTTGATTCAAATTTTGAACTGGGTGACTTTGGATGCGGTTTCTATTTATCAACATTATATGATTGAAACCTTGTTGGTTTTCGATTTTTTATTGAAGTCTCTGAAATTAATGCAATAATGCATTTTTATGTAGGTTATTGTAATTTTTAAATTAAAATTTGATATTTGTAGTTATTTATATTAATGAGATTTTAAATAAAATCCATAATTTGTTGAAAATATTTTTAAAAAAAATTATACTTAAATAAAACCCATGATTTGTCATTACTTATATTAATGACATTTTACATACAAAAAATTGGTAATTTTATACGATACATTTTACATACAAAAAGTTGGTACATTTTATACAAAAAAAGGTGATACGTTTTATATAATGGGTACATTTCATATAAAAATATATATATATATAACAATGGGTACATTTTACACAAAAGAGATGGTACTTAAAAAAAAACAAAATTGCGTACATTTTACATATAACAAAGTGGTACATTTTTAAAGACAAATGGGTACATTATTAATAAATTATGGGTGCAAATAAAAGGTCAAAAAAATATGAGTACAAATAAAAGTTTGAAAAATATGGACACAAAAAGAAATTAATATATGGGTACAAACTAAAACTGAATAGAAAATTGGCACAATTTAAAAAAAAAATGTTGCAAATTAAAATGGGTACAAACTAAAAATAAAAATATATGATACAAAATTTAGGCATAAAAATAAATATATTACATGTAACGTTTCTAACACTAAATAAATCATTTAGAAATAAAATTTAATTATTGAAATAATTATGATGTTTATTAAAACTAAAGGATCTTGATTAAAAATTGAAAAGAAATAAGGTTTCAATCAATGAAGTTGAAAAAATAGAGATAAGAACCTAATTTTTCCTTTTGAACCTTTGTTATTATTGATGATGAAAATCCAGAAACAATGTTTTGTCTCCAAAGATCCACATTTTCAATCTCGACCGAGTTCATGTGTGACTGATCAAATTCGAAAACATGCCCATGTTGCCATACACAAGTTGGCTTCCAATCACATGCACTTCGATAATATATTAACCCATAGAGTTTTCCGTAGGACTCCTCAACCAAAAACCGACTGCAATATATAGTATAGTTGTGTTTGTAGGACCAGCTAGCATGACTTGTTCTTTAGGACGGTAGCACAATGGACCATCTCCCATGCTTGAAGTTCGACATCGAACTTTGGAGCAAGCTTGAGTCACTACCCATGCTGAATAATTCAGCGGCTGACCTCGAATCCCATGATCACGAACATCTTCAAGCCAAGTCTTGCAGACTGCACGAAAGTGAACAAAATCATAGAACGAGAAACATCGAACGACTGGGTTTAAAACATCATCTGGAAGCTCGTGAACTGCTTGCCCTAGTACACTGTAACAATTCTATGAGATTATTATATGCCAGTCGCGGAGGACTACAAAATGGGCGGTATGTATAGATTACAAGATGAAAGGCTAACTCAAAACAGAAAATAAATCTATCCTAATTCAACAAGAAAATCTAAATCCACGAGGACAAGAAATCCAGATATTAATTAATTATTTTAAAAGCTAATTAAGAGATAATTTAGGAAGGAGAATAATTTCATAATCCCCGCAATCTCATAAGACTTTCCTATTTTCTTAGGATTCTTCAGCATTGGTTCCTATTAAACTAGGGCTAGTCCTTGTATTCTATGGTATCCATGGATATTTATCTTTTCTCACTTCCGGTTTAAATGGAGTCGTGGACAGTTAAATATTTAGCATTTGCCACTTAATTACAGCATTTGGAAATTTTTACAGGTCTGTTGTACTTGTATGTTTTACTTTATAGTATAGTGATTGCAAAGATTATCTCTGAACATTTAGGGAAAAGTAGATGGATCAAACTATGTGAATTCAATTTTTTGATCCTTTTATTTTCCTTTTGGTCTAACTATTTACTTTCATGCTGATTGTTTGACAGGTTTAAAAGTTAATAAACCATATTCGAGTGTTCATCTCTCATTAGAGCTTGTGTTTATGTGGAATCTTTGGAAACCTTTATGGACCTTTGATTCTTCCTGTTTCATATGAAAGAAGCAGCTGCCCTTTTATTCTTTTTCTCCCTTGTGATATGATCACATTTGCCCCTCCGGCCACCCACTGATGGTAATTTGATTTGGAGTCCTGGAATTGGCTGGAGCGGGAAAACTCGGGTTCTCCAGTTCTCCAAAAAGTAATCTTGTAATTTGAGACACCATCTTCGCTTGCAATCAACGCGAGAGAGGAGGGGGTATTAACTATTATGAATCAAATGAAGAAAATGAAGAACTGTGTATGACGAATTGCAGAGAGAGAGAGAGAGAGAGAGGGATGAAAGAAGTGGCTGTGACTTTTCAGATTGTGTTTCGTAAAATGTAAATGTTTACAAGATATGCTATATATAGCATTTTACACTTAGACAGCTCACCTCTAACTAACTTTTAACAACTCAGCTAACTACTAACAATTCTCAACTATATTTAGTTGACATGGCACACACTCACACTCTATTGGATGTCTACACTTGTCATCCCCCCTTAATCTCAGCTGGGTTTGCCAAGCCTGAGATTGCAGCAATGTCTGAAGAAGGCTGGACCATGCAAGCCTTTGGTTGGAATATCTACAATATGATGTTTTGTGGAGACATATTACTTGTAAGGCTTTTCTTTGAACCTTCTCCCATCACTGCTCATTCCGTGGTATATTACAGCCTTGGTTACCTTTTCCTTCTCCATTGCCTATTGTGATTTTGTCATTGCCTTCATATGTAGAAACTTGTTGCAAAGAATTCAGGTCTGCTGTCATGTGGTGTGATGCTCCAGTGTCAATGATCCAAGAATCATTGGGAAGAAAGTTGGATGGAGCTTGAGCTTGCATAGCAGTCAGTGTAGGTGCAGGTGCAGAACCTTGATAGGCAAAATTGTTTCTGTGGTGACAATCTAATGCACTATGTCCTCATTTGCCACATATTTGACATTCAAGAATTGATCCACTTGAACTCGGATTGGTAGACCTCTTCCAGCAATTTGGAGCAATATGCCCCCTCTTGGAACATATCTGACATTCAGGAACTATATTTGGCCTTGTTTCAGTGTTTCCAGACCATGATTGCCAATTTCCACCATTTTGTCTTCCACTAGATGAATTCCCATGATTGCCACCATAGTTTGATGATCTACAGTTACCATTACCAACAAAACCATATGCATTAGAGAAATCAGGGTACAATTGAGGTTGAGGCTGCACCATAGGGAATTGACTAGCAAGAAATGGTGATGGATACACTGCTTGAGGATTTGAAGAAAATGACATTGGTGGTGGTGGATGCATAGCATGCATTGGTGGTGGTGGTGGATGCTTAACATGATTAGATGATGATTCTACCTGACTTGGCACTGCAAAATTGGTACTCCATTTGGAATCTGTGTAAGAATCCCTCAAGTACTATATGCAACCTTATTAGAATTACTTGAAGACCCCTGAGCCTTTGTAAAATGTGAAGTAGAGGCTAGTAACATTCCCTTACACATACATTCCAGAAAAATTCTAAGACAAGCCATTCACCACAGACTCAGCCTCTCTTTCTGCACATAATAGCTACTCTCCAAATTCCCTTAAGGACATAGTAGTGTCTCTTGTAAAGAACATTGTTCTAATAACAGAATATTCCCTTGGTAAACCAGACAGAGCAGCAATAATGAAATCATTATCAATCACAAATTCTCCCACAACAATTAACTGTTCTTTAATACTTCTAAGCTTAGACAAATATTGATCTATAGAGTCACCCACCTTTTGCATAGTTTGAAACTCAGTCTATAGCGTTTTCACCCTTGCTTTAGAAATGGAAGCATACCTATCTTGAATGTTAGTCCAAGCCTCATGACCAGTCCTAGATCCCAAAACATGCTCAATTGACTCATCAGATAACGTAGCAATCAACAAACTCAAGAGAGCAAGATCAACAACTTCCCATTCTTTATACTCATCAGAAATTTCATTTGTAACACCATGATCAGTGCTAATCACAAATTTTGCTGGACAATTAGTCGACCCATCAAAATGATGAAACAACTTATATCCTTTTAGAACAAATTTGAACTAGAAGACCCATTTCGAAAAATTCTTGTCATTCAACTTAATTGTCAACATTCCCAAAAGCTCTTCAATTTTGACAGAAGAAGATGTCGTTGCTATTTGCATGAGTTATAGTTTTATCAAGAAACTAAAGTCTTCTCAATACTTCAAGAATCACATATTATCAAGAAATGCTTCAAATTTCAACTAACGTCCACAGAAATTGAACTAATTTTCACAGAAATGGCTTCATGCCCTCAAATTTCAACAACTCTTCAAAGAAATTCACAGAAATGGCTTCGTGCCCACAAATTTCAATCAACTAATCTGTATAGAGAATGGCTTCGTGCCCTCAAATTTCAACAACTCTTCAAAGAAATTCACAAAAATGGCTTCGTGCCCACAAATTTCAAGCAACTAATCTTTACAGAGAATGGCTTCATGCCCTCAAATTTCAACAACTCTTTAAAGAAATTCACATAAATGGCTTCGTGCCCACAAATTTCAATCAACTAATCTTTACAGAGAATGGCTTCGTGCCCACAATATTTAGCTACTAATGGCTTTGTGACTAACAACTATTTATCTAGTTAAATCAAGCAATAAACTACCAAAGAGAAAAATTTCAAGAAAGAACCCATAAACAAAGATTCCATTTGGCTTAAGTGTTCAAGAATTGATCACAGCAGATGTAGAAAGGGAAAAATTCAGAACTTTTCACCTAAGATCAAGATTTCCAAAACACACTATAACACCTTCAGAAAATACCATCGCCAGAAACCCAGAAAGCACTTTCGATCAGCACCACCCAAGAACCCAATTTCGACCTCAAAACTTCATCAGAAACACGACCCGGTAACTCCACAGCAGAATCGCTGGCTTTGATACCATATTAACTATTATGAATCAGATGAAGAAAATGAAGAACTGTGTGTGAAGAATTGCAGAGAGAGAGAGAGAGAGAGAGAGAGAGGAATGAAAGAAGCGGCTGTGACTTTTCAGATTGCATTTCGTAAAATGTAAATGTTTACAAGATATGCTATATATAGCATTTTACACTTAGACAGCTCACCTCTAACTAACTTTTAACAACTTAGCTAACTACTAACAATTCTCAACTATATTTAGTTGACATGGCACACACTCACACTCTATTTGATGTCTACACTTATCAGGGGTGCCTTATATATATCAGTAGGAACATGTTTTTGCATGTAAGTTAAAAGAAGTCAATTAATGCAGTAATATACAACGTCAGTAAATTTTTTTGATTGCTTTTTAGGTTACATGAACTGTGATGTACAGTCATCATTGTAATTTTTCCCAACCGAAAAAATCACACTCAGAAGTAGTCAGAGCAGCCGTGAATTTGGTTTTGTGTTCGTGGGTGTTCAGCTTCAATGAATTTTCCGACCGATCGAGTAAGTTTGCATAGTTGAGAGATCACAGAGCAAAAGAATAACCAGCTTTCCAAGATGTTGGAAGTAACCTCGAGTCACTAGCCATGGCGTATAATTCAGCGCCCGACATAGGAAGTATCCCATGATCAAGAACAACTTCAGGCTAAGTCTTGCAGACCGCAGCAAAGCGAACAAAATCATAATACTAGAGATACTGAACGATTTGGCTTAAAACATCAATTGGAAATCGAAGATCTGCCCACGAAAGCAGTTCTATCAGATGACTATGCTCAAATTTTATTTACCATCGCAATTTTTGTCAATGTACGTACGTTTGCAAAGTTACTGTAATTGTCTTCGCCTTTCGAAATACAGGAGATGTTCCTTTTTCGAAGCGATTTCATAGATCTTCAACCCAATTCTCCAATATCTCACAAAAGTTTTTCGCAGCCTCAAATGGAGGTACAGTGACTCTCTAGAGCAAACCCTAATTTGCTTGTCGTTCAAAGTACAATATTTTCTGGAATTTAAATGCACCAAACAAGTATTCCCTTAGTGTTGGTTAGGACATTCCTCTTTGATACACTGCATTCTAAATTCAAAACCCTACCCTTCCTGTTTAGATTAAAGTAAAATATCTTTTTTGTTGAAAAAATTGCACCAAACAAGTCGATGTGGGTAACGACACAGAAAAGATGACAACAATCATAAAGAGGAAATGGGAGATCCTCTCAAGTACATCGATGAGACAGTGAACTTACAACTTAGCACACGGTACCACGTACCAAAAGAAATTTTAAATTAGTATCGTTAACTTCCCAAGTTGGCTCCATTTGTAAAAGAGAACATCTAGTTACAAGTTCAACGATTACTTTTGGAATCTCACATATCCAAATTAAACCATTTCAGAATTGAAAAGTTCGTGGCTAATAGCATTTAGGAAGTTTTAACGAAAATTCACAGGTACTGTTCACTTTAACGAAAAACCATATTTTTACACTAAAAAATCAATCATGATATTATTCACTTCACCCTTTATTGTCTTTATCATTAAAACTCAAAGTTTTCAAGTTATTTTCATTAGTTTTCCTTAGCATTTATCGTTGCACCAGCGTTCAATATCAAAATCAGTATCGGAATCCCTTCTCCCCTCTAAATTGGCCACCAGCGTTCAATATCGGAATACCCTCTCCACACATTGCATTCAGTATCGGAATACCCTCTCCACACACTATCGATTTCTACTCAACGATCAAAATGATTACTTTCAACACACACAAAACACATAACGAAACAAAAGACCGATGACAACATTTATATATACTTCATAAGACTACAAACCGGTTTACTAACCCCGAATTTAGAAGTAACTTCTAACTTATGTCGGGCTTTTAGGAAGACGGACTCCATTAAAAACGCTACAGACACCAGGCAAAGAAAGCTTTTCGGTCCGGTCGGCATATTTTCCTTAATTTGCAAGACAGACCTCTTTCTTTACCTTTTTTAAAGAAAAACCCCCCGGACCCAATAGGATTAACTAAAGTTACCTAACCTTGAGCAAAAACTAAAGATACCTAACCCAAAGCTAGACTTTCCAAAATATAAAAAAAAGGAAAAAAAAAAATAAAGGCTCCCCTGCCACATGTCAGCTAGCAGCGCAGACTGTCTACGTGTTGCGTCTGAGGTTCACCACGACGACGCTCACGTTGTCAGCGCTGTGCCTGGCCAATGCCAGCTTCATCAGCAGTATCGACGCGTCGGAACACGCCCTGTCCGACGCCGCCTCCGCCACCGCCTCCGCCCACGCGCGCTCCATCGCACTAGCCGCCCGTTTCCCTCTGAGACACATTCTCGCCACCCCGCATGCCGTTTCGTTCGACACCACGTCCCACAGCCCGTCGCTCGCCAGGATCAGACACTCGTCCTCCACCGTCCTGTCCGTGATCGTCACCTCTGGAACGCAGCTCACGTACGGCTTCAAGTAGTTGTCGCCTGCAAAGAAAACGATAGCCATTATCCTGTCGAATGAAGGTCGTCTCCACAAGGTTTTTCGGCTGGGGACGTTTTATAGTTTTTACGTACCTATGGCTCTTGACATCGCCAGAACTCCGAGAACCCGTGGGCCGTCCCAGTATATGACCCGCCCACCCGCCTCCTGGATCCGATTCAACTCATCGGGGCGATCCGGCTGTTACAGTAACAAAATTTAAAAAGTTATTAACGCAGGTCCATCGAAACAAAGTGGACTCGCATGTATTATTCCACATTTTTCTCAGCAGCCAAACAGAAAATTGACCTTGTGATCAACAGAGAGAGGAAAGGCCTTGCCGTTGCGACAGAGCACGGCTCTCGAGTCGCCGCAGTTAGCCACGACGATCTTATCGGGAGCGACGACTGCGACGACTGCGGTGGATCCGACAGCCTCCGACTCCGGAGTTTGAAGCTCACAACGGCAGTTGCTCACTCCGATGCCGCCTTCGCGGCCCCACGCCACCACCTCCTTGTCCATCCGCACAAAGCTCCTCTCCATCGCCGTCTTCCAGTCTTCCATGCTCTCCACTTCCTCCTTCACCAGCTCATGCATCCGCTCTCTGCATTTCGTCGCCACCTGGGAAAAATGCAAAACGACCAAATAAATTTCAAACAAGAATTAATTAAAAGTCGTTTATGGAAGAAGGAGAATGGAGTCGTTTTAAGTACATGTGAGCAGCCGTGGCCGTCGTAGACGCCGAAGTAATGCAACTGGGCGGCGGAGTCTCGGATGCGTCGGCAAAACGAGCGGTGTACGGACACAGCGTCCTCCATATCTCGACGGCGGCCGCATACGGAGGACAGCCCGTACCTGAGCATCTCCCTCGAAGCTTCTGTAACGTTCGATGACGTGGACGCTCGGATCTTCGTTGACTTCTTTTGACTCGGGGGGATTTTCTCTTCGTCGGAAGAACCGGAGCACAGCAGGGCGCTTTCCAACTCCCGAGAAGGCAACGACATCGTACGGGACGCGGCTTTCTTGTGCTGCTCCGAACTTTCCAGGTGACTCCGGCGCCGGTGGGGCCACTCCGGAGACGAATTTGAACCGCCGGATCTCCATCCTCCTCCGCCTCGCAGCTCGTGAACCGGTCTCGCAGGCATTCGACGCCGAGTCGCTTTCGCTCACAACTCCGTAGCAAGTCTCCGCCATTTCAAAATTGCCAATACATGAAGCTGGAAAATGGGGAAATCTTTTATTTTATTTTGAGAAAATTAATTGGAATAGAAAGCTGGCGCGCTCATGAGAGGAGATTATAAAGCGCACATGAGCTTAGGGAGAGATTTTTTAGTGTGATCGAAATATAAAGTTTTATACTCTTACGTTAACATACAGAGGATGAGATATATTAATTAAAAAGTTAGCAACTTAAATATTAAATTTTTTATTATGTATATAAAAACACGTAACATAGTATTTTTCGATCACAATGAAATATTTATTTACTTGGATCACCGGGCCCGCTGATATTTACCTGAGTCACCGGGCCCACCTTAGCTTTTTACGTAGGGATCTGGCTTCTCTCTCTTGCCCGAGGTCGTCAGGGGCAAGCCGGGCAGGAACAAATGGTGCGTGACGTACTACTCTTCTGCCTAAACAGACTCGTAAATTTTTCCACCGTCGATCTTCTTATATAGGTGTTATCTCGTCCGTCAAGACCAAACACGTGTACCTACTACGGGGAGGGCGGGATACGTGGGCGAATCAACAACTGACAGTCAAGACAGTAGGGTGCTTCCTTTCCTGACACGCATGTGGTCCTGTGCGTGGTCTCTCTCGAGTTTTTTAAATTCGTTTTCCGTTCGAAATTTCACCAGGTGTAGCCATGTGTCCCTCCCTTTCACTAAATTGGGATGATTAAAGTTAAGTATTGTACGAAGGTATTCATTTTCATTTATAAGTAATAAATTTTAATATTAATTTTTAATAAAGTAAATTTGAATCACATTATTACTAATTCATTATAAAGCTAGTAAACCACTCTCCTCTCCTTTAATATAAATACTTACCATTTGAAAAAAAAAAAATAGTCATCACGTATTTTTATCACTTACTAGTATATAGGCACACATAAAGTGTGTGAAATTTTTTTTATTTTTATTTTTAAAATAGAAGGAGAGAGGAAGAGAGTGATAGAGAATGTGGAAGTGGAAAGTGTTTTTTTAATTTTTAATTTTTTTAAATTTGAAATTCGTTAGGATGACATGTTGGTCAGGCTTTGAAAAAAAAAATAGCAAAATTTAGTTGTGTAAAATTACGTTTCTACTCCATATTTCTTATTCATATTCTGTTTTAATTAGAGGGGGTTAAATTGATAATTTCGTAGGGTTTTAGTTGATAATGAGTGTTTTATTAATTAGCAGAGATAATATCATATTTATTTGATAAATCTTAACAAGGCTCTTTTAACTACAGTATTTTTTGTCATTTCATATTTTCGATCCAATGTTTTATAGCATTGATATTGAGAACTAACGGTAAAATCTGAGCTCTTTCAATAATAAATTCTCTGACACATCATGTTTTGAACATAACGTAATAAATTTTACGGTAAAATGTGAAGTGACAAAAAGTTCCAAACAATCTCTTTCACATTTCTCAGAACCGGATCCAAAAAATCTGAGCTTAAGAATCAAATGATTCGGGTTATTGAAACTTGATCCAACGACTACAAATAGAAATTCCTTTTAAAAGTTAATTATTATAAATGTTAGATTAAATTTCAATAATCCGGATCATTTGATTCCTGACCTCAGTTTCTTTGTCCGAAGGGGATCCGGTTTCACATTTCTCTATCTATTTTGTGAAAGATGACAAGTAACTGTCACATTGATTAAATATAAAACAATTTTCCCACACCTTTTGTACAGTATTGTGTACTTATACCCTTTGATTCTCGTGGTTATTACTCCCGTAAAATCATCATATTTTCAATCATTCAGTGATATATTTATTTTAAAAGTAATGTTAGATATACTAAATATGTAGAATGCTGTTAGGAAAGTTAAATTTATAGATTAAATGATATAGAAATTAATAATTAGATTATCACTTAAACGTTGATAAATATGCTTATTTATTATTGATGACGTATTATTTATTTTGTAATTTTAGTCTATAAATTTAGCTTCCATAGTATTACTCAAATATGTATATTAAATTTATAACCTAAATTATATGTCTTTCATTAAGAATGAGTATGTTTATTAACACTTAAATCCTAAATTAAATTATCAACTTTAATGTTATTTAGTTTATAAAATTTTATCTATCAATTTATTCTCTCTAAAATTATTATTATTTTCAAAAAGAGAAAATAATGAACTATCGTCTCAAAACTTAAATTTAAGATATCTAAAATATAAATATATATATATATCAATAAATCGTCATACCTAATGTTACTGACGTTATGTTTGATATTAGTGTAGTTTGTCTTGCTGTTTGCGTTGGGAGTTTTTATTGAGTTCGAACGACTCTCAAATTTAATCGAAAATGTTTGTACTTTTTTATTAACTTCCTCTTAAAATGCATATTTTCTCTTGTATGATTGTGTAAAATCATTTATTTTGAATCCTAATTTTACTTTATCGTAATTTACTTCAACATGCTGAGGTTAAAATTATTTTGTATTTTATAATCATTTCGGTTTGGTGAAATAATTGTTAAATATTCTGGTAATAATGAAGTTGTACCAGAATACATGACTCTCGTTACTTTCCTACTGTGATAAACGTCAATTACTCCTTTTTATTTTTCTTTACTTCTATGCATGTTGGGACATGTGGTCCAATCAAATGGCTCTACGTAGAGGAGAATGAATGGAGAGGTGGGACCAGGTGTCTACGTCGTTGACCCCTCCAGAATATCTAATGGAGGAAAGATTTTTCTACTGAAAAATGCTAATGAAACTGGCCATGGATCCTCTCACGATCCATGCATCATAATTTTAGAAATTCATCAATTCAAACAATTGAATTTTGATTCAACGATTATAGCTATTATAAAGAAAAATTAACGAAAAGTTCAAAAAAACTTATCTTTTAATGAAAAGTCTTTTTTAAAAATATAATGAATAGTACCAAGAAAAATTATAAATGTGATTTTTAGTTAAAAATGAATAGTATCGAAAGTATTTTGTTAAACCTCTCTTATTATAACTTTTAAAGTGAATTTCTGTTTGTAACAGTTTAATCAAATTTTAATAGTCCGGATTGATAGATCTCTAAGATTAGGATGCATGGATCCGGAAAGAATCCATATCCCTATAAATTATCTATTAACTCAAATTTAGGCACAATAATTTATAATATTGCTACAAAAATTAATTTTAAATTGTAAAAGAACAAAAAATTATAAAGAATTTCACCTTAAAAGAATCTTCGTAAAATTTTGTTTTGTTTGTTTTAAAAATAAACGGAAACATATTTCCAAGGTATCTAATAATATATTAGACATATAATGTACCAGATTGTGTTTCCAAAAATACACGAAAATATCTGTCGAGACAGGGTCATAGTCAATGCGCGTGTCGCAATCTCGTATCTCTCGTTCATCCAAAGCAGGGAACACGTTTCAAGTGTTTTGGCGCTTGCAAACTTTAATATCATATTCTTCATAAAGTATTAAATCTCTTTCTTTTTGGATTTTGACAGTAACTTACGTGTATTTAGGAATCTAAAAATGTCTCTTTCAAACTAAATCTTAATTGTTTCGAAGAGTAAAAAATTCATTGTATAAAAACTTTATCCCAGAATTTTCAATGATTTGTACATTTTTTTAGAGCAGGTCGTGTACATGAATTAAGTATCAAGAATATCAGTTTGTTCTAATGGAAAAGAATTATATGTAGAGGAATGTTTGTCGTGTTGAATTAGATTAACATGGTGGGATTCTTGGTACTTAAAACTTTCGATATTAGGTACAACAACCCTAACTACAAGAGGGTTTGTACCAAATACAGAATATGCAACTCCAGTCAATAAGACCCCTCGCATTGCATTGTAAAAGTCGAGTACCAGATATTCAGAATGAAACAAATAAATAAATCCAAAGGAGAAAAGGTGATAAATGATCAGCATCTTCAGCGCGCAATGATAGTGCTAGATTTGGAACTTGGCAGTGGCCGGCAACTCGCCTCAAATTCGAGAGAGAGAGACAACGACACCAAAAAGAAGGCATACAACTCAGCTTCCTCCCGACACTCTGATGAGTATCCAAACATTGACTCCATCTCCACCGAGTTCAAAGCACTAAAACTCACAATAACACCAGCTTCTCCTTCTTGATCTGTAAGAAACAGATCTTACCAACCCCAATGAAAATTCTAAAATTAATGTCAAGCATTTTGCGTAATTCCACAGATCTTAAAGGATCAACACCTAATCAGATGATCAACTTTCTGAAACTGGGAGAACTCAAAAATCTACAATATTACGGAGTTGTGAAGAGAGGACTCATTTCCGAGCAATAAAATTCGGCTAATTAACACCAGAATTAAACACGTAAAACAGTTTTGATGAGAGAATAAAACTCCTTATTTCCGAAAAGCTAAGATAATAAGAAATTAAAGAAAAGATCAGGGGCCGGGAAAACCCTCCGGATCGGAAACGATGGTTCTGTTTTGTCTAGTTCGTTGCAGAGTGTTCAAGAGAGAGACCTGAGAGAGAGAGAGAGAGAGAGAGAGTATAACGTCGCGCAAAATATTTTGTCTCTGTAAGCATTTTCCTTAACAACGTACTAGCAAAGACATTTATGGATATATCCTAAGTCGAAAAACTATTAAAACTTAATCATCTTTACTAACACGTAGATTAATAACATGTCAATATTTCATAGTGACGGACAACTTTCCATACCATCAACATCCGTATGTCTCCCACCTTGCATTGTACCACCTGTACAGCAAGAAAAGTGTGAGATTTTTATTATAAAAGTCTCGATATAGTTAAAAGTAGAATTACTGAATATAAAACTTATTTAATTTTATCAATGTTCTATTATGAATTCTTGTGTTCCTTACCAAACGTAACGTAAAAAATGGCATACACCATAAAATTTCTCCACCTATAACACAATTAAATCAAAGAAAGTTATAGTAGTTCGAGTTAGGCAGCCATATAATACTCACCAGACATGATTTGTTTAACACATGGTCAAGCACCATAGCACGACGTGGAGAACGCTGTCTGGGTGCACTTCGGACCATCGAGGAGGGGGCCAAGACAAAAGCTTGTAACAACCCTTTAAGTAAATCTCCACGTATAAAACCTCGCTGTCAATCTGTTGTACCCAAATATGCCACGTGATAAAGAGG